CAGAAAGAATATTTTCCTCACTTTGACAAACAAAAACATATTTAAGATCAACAATAGGAGAGGATAGATTAAATGGACTTATGCTTCTTAATATTCATAGGGATATTAAAATTACTCCAGAGGAAGTTATTGAAGAATTCAATGAAAAACACCCAAGAAAATTACAGTTACAATATATGTAAGAAATTATTGTTATTTTTAAGTTTATATTTAATAAATACTGATGTATAAAAAAAAGTTATAACCAATAAATCAAATAGAAAATATTAATTTAAATAAATAGAAAGGTGTAACAATCTTTTTTTTTTTGAGCACCCCCTGTCAAAATTTTCTGGATCCGCGCCTGGTTTACGGTTTGGTTGTCGAATGTAAGTGTCGGTATGTGTGTTGTGTTTGTTCGTCTGAAAAGAACATCTACAGTTTTGGACGGGTTAATTTTAATGCGCCACCTGTGAAACCAGGTTGTTGTGATATCGAGTTGGTGTTGTAGTTGCAACTGAAAGACACGTCTGGCGGTACGTTTGGGGTATTTGTCTGTGGAAAGGAACATTGTATCGTTGTCGAATAACGAGAGAGATCCTTGGAGGTCGTTGGAATATCGTTGATGTAAGTCAAGTAGAGAGTCGGGGAAAGACAAGAAACTTGAGGGACACCTGTGTATATGTGTTTGGTGGTCAAGAAAGATTTTTCGATTTGAGTGATGAAAGTACGGTCTGAGAGGAAGGATTGGATGGTTTTAACGATTTCGATCGGAATGTTGAGTTTTGAAAGTTTGTAGAGTAGACCATCGTGCCAGACTCGGTCGAAGGCTTTCTCTACGTCGAGAAATATGGAGACGGTGTTTATGTTGTTGTTAAAATTTTGGCTTAGTAAATGAGTTAGTTTGGTCAGTTGAAATGTTGTAAAGTGTTCAGGTGTGAAGGCAAATTGTTCAGGTCGGATTTTGTTTTGAAATTTATTTTGTAGTTGGGTAAGTATGAGTCGTTCGTAAATTTTGGATAGAGAGGATAGAAGGGATATTGGGCGGTAATTCTCGGTCAGTTTATGGTCTTTGCCTGGCTTGGAGATGGAAATGATGACTGCTTTTTTCCAGGCAAGGAGAAAGTAGCAGATTCTGAAGCAGCTGTTGATGATTTGCGTTCAGGATAGTAAAATATTGTTTGGAAGGAATTTGAGTGCCGTATTGGTAATAAGGTCATCACCGGGACTTTCTTTTTCCGAAGATCGCGTATCATGTTTTGGATGGTGCCGGGAGTGATGAAAAGGTTCAATTTAGTAATGTTATGGTCAAGTAATGACTGGTTGTGGACGGTTACTTCTGGTAGGTCGGGATCAGGGTTAGTTTGGAACTGACGCTCGAGAGAGTCTGCAATCAACTCGGCTCGATCGAAGGCCTGAAAGACTAGGCCGTTGGGACCGGTCAGTGGGTGAGAAGCTGGACGTTTATGGAGGAGGCATTTGTTAAGTTTGTATATAGAACCGTCTTGGTGGTCAAGTGAGTTTAGAAAAGTGTCCCACTGGTCGGTTTTGTAAGTTTCGAGTAAAGTTCGGATTAATGAGATTTTGGATTTAAGGTAACACTTGGTGGTCGGGTTGCGGTTTCGTTGCCATTCACAGCGTATGCAGTTATTTTCCATGATTTCAAGTTTGATATAGTCTGGTAATATGAAGGATGAGTTTTTGAGTTGAGGTGTGTATACGCTAGCTTCGATCGCGTGTTGTATGTGTTTGGTCATGCAATCGATTGCCAGGTCGATTGACTGACAGTCGTTCGTTGAGCTTGCAGTTATGTTAGGTAGGGTTGTAAGTATTGAATTGTATTTTTTCCAGTTAATGAAGCGGTTAATAAATGGTGGGGAAGACGCCACTGGAGTACATAAAATTTCTAGAAAAATAGGGTTGTGGTCGGAAGATAGTTCGTTGAGGTTTTCGATTTGAGTTGGATATGGTAATCGTAAGAGGGCGATGTCAAGTATGTCAGGTCTATGTCGTGCGTATGTTGGGAAATGTGTGGGAGATGTGGAAGCGGTTATGGAGTAGTCAGATTGTTGTACGTGGTCAAAGAGGACTTTTTCGGTAGCGTTTGTCGAGTGGCTGTACCACAATAGGTGTTTGGCGTTGAAAGCGCCTGCCGATATTTGTAATTCGGCGCTTTGAGTTAGGAGGTCAAGGTCCTTTGTCATGAGTGTGGCTCCAGATGGTTTGTATACAGCCGATACTAGTACTTCGTGGTCGTTGAGTTTGATAAGGACAGAAGTTGTTTGGATGGCTGTGTTAAGTATTGTTTGTTAGTGGGTAATACATCGGTGGACGAGAACAGCCGTGCTGCCGTGAGCAGCAGAGCCACGTACGGGCGTCAGGTCGTTTCTGTATGTAAAATAGTTAGGCATGTGAAGTCTGGTTGAGGAAGAAAGGCGAGTTTCGTTAAGTAAGATAATGTCAACTTTCAGTTGAAGTGCGAGTGAACGTAGTTCGTTAATTTTGTGGTTGATAACGTTTGAGTTCCAAAATAAAATTTTTAAGTTATCCATTTTGTGCTGAAAGAATAGTTAGGAAGGTTCGGATTGTGGATTCGATCAAGGATTTTGTGTCTTGGTTGTTTATAATGGCACTTAAGAGGTTGGTTGGGATGTTTAAGATGGTTGTTAGGTATATTTGCGGCGTTGTGGTGTTTTGTGGTGGAGGCGTTATGCCGGTAGTTGCTGCGGCATATGACCGTGATGAGTTTTGAGATGAAGGTGGTGGAGGTGGTGGTGGTGGTGGTGGTGGGAGGTCAGGTTGGCGGGTTTTTTCGGTGCAATGTTTTAAGTATGCGTCGCGTCTTTGATGGAATTTGGGGTTGATTTTTGAGCTTTCTAGCGGGGGCAGCCGTGGAAATTAGCCGTGCTTAAACATTTGTGGGCCCCTAGGCAATTAAAATTTTGGGTCCTACAAAATTATTTTTTACATACATCTTTAACATTATTATCCAATAATTAATACTAACAGCTTTAATGATAACCAACTATTATTAATAAATCAAATCATGTTTATTAAATTTTTTTATTTGCAAGAACAATTAATTAATTATTATATTATTTTTATGTTTTTCAAAATAGTTTTATTATTATCACTGTCTATAACACCTACAACTTAATATATATTATATTTCATAATAACTTTTGTTCCGTAAATTCGTAAATAAACTGATATTATTAAATAAAAATATAGTTTTCTGTTTTCACAGGGCCCCTTAAATGAGTGAGACCCTAAGGCGGGCACCTACTCCGTCTAATCCAGCACTTCTGAAGACTAATGCTAAGACTATAATAAACCTTTTTATCATAAATTATGTATACTGTGTTGTTGCGTGCCGTCAGTTTAACCGTTAAGGTTGTCAAATAATAAGTCAACTATCATAAATTAACAATTATTATAATATTTATTTAAGTTTACGTAATTGTGTACAAGAAATAATTTTAAGTTAAATACTTATTAATTAATATGTTTTTAGTAAACTGGTGTGAAGGTGTTCTCTCGGACAGGACTAAAACACATCTTAACAGTGGTCTATTCGGGACTACCTTATATACCCCGTTCTTAAAGGATATTTAACCCAGACATAGTTTCTAATGATATTAATATTCTAGACCCCTTTCGAAAAGTATCTACTATCCAATTTTATAATGTCTTAAAAGGGCATGTTTTTGATATTTTTTCGGTTATTGCAAACTATGCCAGTTATTAATGCTTTATGACCTTATAAAATCATGTTTCTGATGTTGTTTCGGTTTTTGCAACAATACCAGTTATTTGTATGTGACTCCTCTGTAAAATTGGATATTCACAAGGACATATATTATATAGCCCACAACGTAGATATCATGGTGTTTTCACATATAGTGTAATTTGTATTTGCGTATGCAATAAGGTATATTATAATGTAAGCCCCAATGCTATTTATGTGCACCCCCTATGTATTGGTAGTCGTAAGGACCTACATTTATGTATGTCCGTAACAGTGTTTATTTTTAACCATGGAAATACTAAAATACTAAAAGTATTGCACAAAATATACAATAAGTTCAGATTTACTGATTTATATACCAATTGAATGAAATATAAATTACAAATAATGAAATAGATTTACCTAGTAATTGTCGAGCTATAATTTTACTTACAAAAAGCTAAAAAAAAAAAAAAAATGAAATAGGTATCTGAGTATCTGACAGAAAAAATTAAAAATTTGGTTACAGACCAATGGCGTATATAGAAAATACTTTTCGGGAGGGGCTACTATGGATAAAGTTAAATTACCACTGCTATCTAGGAATTACTAACAAGGCTCAGTAGACACTTATCTACATTTCATTTACAGAATATACCAAAATGATTTGACGTTGGACGAAAATTTCTAAATAAGCATAGAACACCATTAAAATATGACATACATTAAAAATAATTTTTAAGTTTTTTAAATCATTTTAGGGGGGGCTGTAGCCCACTTGCCATCCCCCCTATATACGCCACTGTTACGGACAACATTTTTATCTGTGGTTCATAAACCATAACTACTTTTAGTTAAATGTTAGTAAAATGCCATACTTTAAATTAAACTAACATTTTGAATTCATTCTTTACTCAAAGAAAGAAAATTTCAAAGTATAAAAATAATTTTTCATTTGATACTTATTCATATCGATCACTTTTATATTTTACTCTCATCATTATTTTAATTCGATTCGATACGACGAAGTAAAAGGATCAATAATTTTCTTTCAATAATTACTCATATCGGTCCTTTCGTTTCGATATTTTACTCATATCGGTATTTTCATTCGATTTGATACCAAGTAAAAGTATCGATACTTTTCTTTCGATACCACGTCCCTACGTACAATTTGTTACATAAAAATAATAAAACAAACGAAATAAATAATTTAATTTCACTTTATTGTATTCTAATTTACCTTGGCTTGCCATTCGTCCATGTTTGACCGGGACAGCCTAGTTATAAAGACATGTCCCGGTGTCCCGGTCGATCATTCAGTTTGTCTCGGTTAATAAAAGGTGAGAAAATAAAATTTAATATTGTCTAGTTTAATAATAAGACAGAAAAATATTTTACATTATATCGTTATATGGGGTTATCTAATCGGTAAGGCTATATACGATAATATTGTATTTTTATATCTATATGAACATTAAATCAAACAAAAAAAAGTCATTCGATATGGTGTCTCGGATTAGGGATTTCAAAATTTGGCAACTCTAAACCAACTCATTGACATAACTGTGTTATATGTTATGTATAAGTCTATGGGCGAAAACGATTTTTTTCGACATTAATTTTACTTGGTAACTAAAATAGGTAAGTACCATGTATCAAGTTGAATCATGTTCTTCGAAAATACCGTTGACTGATAAAAATAATAATTGATAAGAAAAAATTATTATTCAAGATATAAGTCTACTGTATAAATGATATTTTTTTTTAAAAGGAACTAATGTAATATGTCAACAAAATCAGCAGTGGAGAGTGATATATCAGTCGACGATAATAATAAAAACCAAATTCATAACTTTCAAATAAGACCTACACAGAATCAAAAGTAAGTTAGTGTAACACTATATAAATAGGTACACATTAATTGGATTTAAAAATAATTTTCTGAATATCTTGTCAATGAACAATGTTTGCTTTCAAAAATTTTTTTATTTTATATGTATTTTTTTTTAAGAAATTGTTGAAAAACTAATTTTTTTTTGCATTGCGTCACTGCTACATGCAATAATATATTAGTGCTTTTTGAAAAAAATATTCAAATAATAGTATTTACAGAAAATGAAAGGATAATTTTATTAGTTATGGTTCATAGATACATATCCTGAGAATTGAAGTTTTTGAATATATAAGAGTAGTAATACTTTTTATTAAAACTATTAATTTTCTAAACTTTTATATAATATAAACACTATTTACCATATATGTAGGCTTGACATGCAATCTAATGTTCTTGTATAAAAATGTAGAAAGAAACAAATGAATTAATTTTTTATATTTCACTTGTGTAATTCATTTTATTTATAAAATTTAATGATTTCAGATTTAAAACACATTTTGCAAAAGAAGTTATTCAAGAAATTCTTACCAAATATTTGAAGGATAAAGAATACAAACAAATTCAAGCTGAAATACTTAGTAAAACAATAGGAAGTGAAATCAAAAATAGAATTAAAGGTTTTATTTATTAAAATTTGTTTTGTATTTATTATAACTATTTTTTATTATTTTTTCCTAGTAATTTCATTCCTAACCTACTTTCTACATTTAAAATTAAAAAAAAAAAATATTTTAATAATATTTGAATATTGTCACTAGGAAGTTCTCAATTTCATATATATTGCAAAAATCAATTAAAAACAAAATATGTTAACAATAAAATTAATAATTTTTTTTCGATAATAAAAGAATAATTTAAATAATACTTACAAATTGACTAATGTTTATATTAATATGTTTATTTTAAGAAATTGGATGAATCATATCTTGCAGACAAGTGATATATTGTTTTTTTTTTTATAGATCAATATTTGGACAGTCGTTATAAGTTTATGGTACAAGTTGTTTTAGGGGAACGTCATGGTGCTGGGATAAAAGTTGGGGCTCGTTGTGTTTGGGATGCTGATACAGATACTCTTGCTTTTGATCAATTTTTAAATGTAAGTTTGTTAATAAAGTTTTTTTAATTAAATAGTATGTAGACTATATATTTCTTTATAGATTATATAATGTTAATCAATTTTAGATTCTATAAAATATAATTATTTCAGTTGTCAAAACTTATAATATACAAAATTAATATAAATTGGGAATTTTAAACGGTAAAATGGATATCGGTTTATTATTATTTATAAAGATAGTAAATATGTATTCATTAATAATTTAAATATAATAGTTAATACTCAAAAAAGCTAAATAATGATTGTTGATTGATGATTAAAATTTTTTTTACAGTTACTTTAACTAGCAATATAAAATCTATAACAATATTTCTTCAATAATTAATAAACAATAAAAAACTATTAAAGTGGTTTAAATTTTATGTATGTAATTTTAGACTGCTTTTTTTTTTATTAAAATCACATGGTTTGGTTATAACCATAAAAATATATTGGAAGAAAATTATTTTAAAAGCATTTATTGAATAATGTAATCCTATTTATTTTCTAGGAAACAATATTTTGTATGGCAGTTGTGTTTGCTGTTTATTTTTATTAATATCATAGAAACCTGCTTCAATTTGGAAATCTTAGTAAGAATTGACAGTATTTTATACTATATTTATTTTGTGTAAAATATATAATAATATTATAAAGTGTTTATTAATGTACTATCAAAATAATGATTAATTAATGTTTAATATCATAAAATAATCACAGATTGTACTTAAATAGATATTGTTATCATAATGTCAAATGAAGACGTTTGGGATGATTTTGTAAATTTACCTGCTGACCCTCCTGAAATGCGCCAACTATGTTTTTCGTGCGAGTAAGTTGAATAATTAAAATATAATTCTAAATTATGTGATTTAAATATTTTTTAAAAATATATATTAATATTTATATCAACTACATATATAAGTTTATAGTAAATGTCTACATATTTAATATATGAATTAATATTTTTGTAATTTTAGACGACCTCATAATGTGTGCTGGTGTAATTATTTACCTGAAACAAGATTAAAGCCAAATTGTAAAATTGTTCTATTACAACATCCAGCAGAAGAAAAAAGGAGTCTTCGTACTGCTCCTATGTTAACATTAGGATTGACTGAAGGAAGTTGCGTTATTTATAAAGGAAAAAAATTTCCTACAAAAAAGTAAATATATCTTTTGTCTCTGAAGATCATTTACTATTATTAGTTATAATAATATTATCTTGTTTATGTCATGGTCATATCTTCAATAGATATGTTTTTACAAAATGGACCAAATTTTTGTAGGATCTTCTACAAATTTGATTTACATATTTAAATAGTTTTTAGTACATAAAAATTCAAGGCCTTGCTAATAACAATGGTAAAGCTTACATTTTTTTTGTTGCTATAATCCGTTAATTAAATATATATTGATCTGTTTACTTACAGTATAATTTAATACCCAATATATGCAAAGTAATACTGACTACACACATACACACACAGGCACACAGATAAACTCACACATACAAATATATATATTGTATTCATCTCAAAATAAAAACTTTTACTAATGTATGTGTATGTTTATTTTTTTGCAGACATGTGGGACTATGGGATATTCTTTCATCCAAACACTCTGTATTGTTGTACCTTTCTGAAAAAGCAATTGACATAGCTCATTTACCTAAAGAAACAGAAATTCATAATTTGATTATTCTTGATGGTACTTGGCCCCAAGCCAAAGCCATTTATAATAATACTCAACTGCTCCAATCAATGACCCATGTTAGTACATTTTTAGTTTAGTATCTTGGTAGAACTATACTTCTTTTACTTTCCTTGTAAATAATCAAGTTAATAATCTAATAAATGTACTACTTTTTATTATAATTATTGTTATGCCAAGGTTTATTGAGTTTAAAATATCACTAGTATGTAAATTATATTTATTCGCATTATAAATATGTAAATTAATGTAAATTAAAAAAAACAATCATCTATTTTTATTTTTATAATGTATCAGCCTTAGTTAGTATATTTTTAAGATCATTTTTAAAATATTTTATCATGTTGTTGACTGGAATACGTATATTGGTGTCACTAAATTCTTAGATTATTGCCTGTCCAGGAACTAGTGGTTTAACTGGAACTGACCAGTTGATAACTAATTGTCTGATCTACCATGCCATGTCACCGAAAATTGTTTGTGAATATTTTCATGTTTCAAAATTTTATGTTTTTAATGCATTTTTAGAGTTTGAAGTTTTTGATTACTTGTCAATGAATTGAAAAATTTTAGTGTATAAATTATTATTTTATGATTTAGGTAAAATTGATGCATAACTATGAAAGTCAATATATTATCAGATCACAACCAACTGATGGATGTCTTTCTACGTTAGAAACTGCTGTTGAAGCTTTAACAATATTAGAAAATGACAATTCTTATAAAAATATGTTACTTAAACCTTTACATGCTCTTTGTGATTTTCAACTTCAACATGGTGCAGTTACACATCAGAGTAAAGAATTTAAAAAACGAAATCAAACTTATCCGAAACTGATAGGAAGACGTCTACGGCAATATTTAGATAATGATAGTTGTTCAGAATTAGTTAATACATAATTAAATGTAATAAATATAATTTCATACTTTTGTATGTTGTAATAAATATTTGATTGCGGTGCACAAACATAAATTTTTATGTTAAATTAAATTAAATTAAATTTTTATTATATTAGTTTAGTTATTTTAAATTAATCTTATATTTTAAACAGGATATTATCAATATTAAATAACTATATTTTTGTAATTTTGCACTTTATAAACACATTTATTTTCATATAAATAAATAAATAAATGAATGAATAGTTTGGAGTATTATTAAATTTCTAATGTACGACTGGTTCTGAATTAAAAATTCATTGTCAGGTGTTCGATATCAATAAAAATTGCAAATGAATATAAAAAAGTAAAAATACCACTTTTTTTTTCTAACATTAACCCATTATGTCATTTCTCTTAAGTTGTAATTTTTATTGGATATGATTTTTAAAATGTGAATAAAAATTTAATTTCAGAGTTCAACTCTGATCCTCTCTTGGCATCGATTGATATAAATATTGATCTATTTTGAAATGACTCAATTTCTTACAAGTTTTATTAAAGTAGATACTTAAATTGGTATTCATTAATTTCATGTTTAAATATTTAATCCTGTTCATTAACTGAGTTGGAGCATTGGCTTGACCTACATTAATAAAATAAGAAAATTAAAATTATAGATTAAATGGATAATATTTGTAATTAATATTTAAATAAATAAACAAATAGTTAATATCTAGAAATACAATTGCAATTTTATTGACTTTGTATATATCTGATGATACATTTTTAATTTGAAACTGGTCTAACTTAACAAATACAATAATACTCTAGGTTAAGCTTTTATTTATTTATTTCTATGTATAAACTATTTGTTTATTTATTTATATATTAATTACGAGTATTAACTATTTAATTTTTTTTTTAGATTTTTGTAAAATTATATCTTTCATAAATAAATAGTTATAAATAATTAGTTATTTATGTATATTCAAGTTTAATATTATTAACAATTTACCACTTTGAAGTAGGAAAATAGGAATCATATTTTGTTATTGAGATCAGTAGTTATGTATCTTCTATTTATTTTTTTAAAGCTGATGTATTACAAGGAATCAATACCTGTCTCTGATTATGAGTATCTTCTCCCTGAATTAATCTTTACTTTACTCTATGGTTGTCAATTATAGCAACGATAATACAATAATTGGCTTTTTTCCTTGCTAGTGTCTGATCTCTCAACTGTTGTAAAATATCAACAATCATTGGCTATTTGATGTGATGTAATTATATATCAAGTTCAGAAACAAATCATCTTAGAAGACATGGAAATATTATTAAGGAAAAACAATTTAATACATGTTTGTAAAAAAATCAGATAAATTATTGACTCATATAGACTTGATAGATATATTTGTAATGGAAACGTCATACATATAGTGTGATTATGAACTGTTGGATAATTAAAATCATTATTTATAAACTATTATTAACTAAAATTAATAAATTTGAATATTTTGTTCTTTTTCTTTTTTCTGAGTTCAGCATGAAGAAGTTAATAGCTTAATATTATCTCAAAGTATTTATTGAATATTATGATGTACTTATTAGCAGTAATTATAAGGTAATGTTTGTTTTGGGTTGAAATTGTTTTTCTCTTGTAATGTAAGTACATTTTTAGTATCTATGAAAAAGGTTTAAGTAAAACATAAATTATGATTATGCCTAATGTATATCTATTAAAAATCTTTTAACTGTTAAAAGCATAGTCAATTTTGGAAATTTGCATAGATCAAAAAAGAAATCTTATTAAGGTCTTAAAAAGTTCTTTTATTGTGTATCAAATTATCAGACATCATCGGAAATATTCTCAATTTTTTTACATAGTATTTCCAAATACTACATTCCAGTGTCACTCATACTTATAGCATATGTGTATTGACAGTACATATATTTTTATAAAAATTATAAAAAAAAGTATTGTAAATAAAATGTCAAATATTAAATTATTAATTTTTCCCCCTTAGTAATAATTTTAAAATTATACTATTAAATTATTACTTATATATTATTATAGATTTACAATTTTATTAGGATATTATTAACAAGTATTAATTATTTTAGAAAATGTCAACATCAAATTAATAATTTGATTTTAAGAAAGGAATACAAAATGTATTAGAATAATTTAATAATTGTAACATTAAATAAAGCATGTAGGTTGATATACAGTGCAGACAAGTAGATTTGTACATTATGATTAGATACATAAGATAAAACAGTAAAATTTGATAAGTCTTATTGCTACTTAAAAATTTAATATTATGCATATTTGATTAAATTACAATTTATCAGTCTATCAAATTATCAAAAAAAAAAAAAAAAAATGTATTATTAAAATAGTAATCTACCAATAATAACAAAATAAAATTAAGATAAGATGGTATATAATTTATTACAACTCAATTTAAATCTTTCAAATTTAATGTTTATAGATATGTAAACAATATATCATTCAAAATAAAGTATTTTGCCAATCTATTATAACCTAATGAAATATTATATAACAAATACTGTAATAACTTTTTATTGAATAACAAAAATATATTTTTCTTTTTGTATACTTGTACTTATAACTGCTAAAAAATAAATAAAAATAAAATTAATCAAATATGAAATAATAATGTCATACTCAAAAACTTACCTTAAATTAATATCACAAATAATTTGAGTCTTATCTGTTGTATCCAAACCACACATGGAGTTATTTGTACATCTATTTATACCCATTTGTCACTAAAGATAAATATCAAAAAAACACATGTTAAAACAAAATCTTATTAATTTATCTACTAATTACATTCATATGAATTCTTATATATCCTCAATTGTCAGCATATTTTTCAATATACTTTACAGAATAAAATTATTATTAATAAGTATTAGTAGAATAATATTAAATACATTATATTGTATGTTTTATTGTTTAATGCTGACAATTGATTAAAAAAAATCAAATAATTTAAAAACCTTTTTTTTTTTCCCAAATATAGATTCAGCATCTGGTGTTCCTTTATTTGGAGTTAGCTTTTTATCTTTAATACACGTAACAATAGGCTTCTGCATTACTTGAGTTAAATCTTTATAATCTTCTTCTTCTTGTCTGTTGTTGATGTCCAAAGTCAATTGTTTTACTCTTCTTAACTCTGCTTGCTCAGCCATTTCTTGACTCTTTAAATTTGATGCCAATTCAGAATCTACTGGTACTTGTAAGCTTTTGAAAGTTTGTTTGTTACCCTTTTTCAACATTAATATAAAATTCACAGAATCATCTTCATTTGTACTCTGTAACTGTTCATAAGTTTTTTTACTATATTTTTTTAAATGAAATGGTATAGATATTTCCGTCTGAGGACGTGTCGCTTCTTTTGTTCTTTCTTGTACGTTATCACTGACCATTTTATCAAAAGATTCTAAAAACTCAAAGTCCTCTGGATCTTCAATCTTACGGCGGACAGGTTCATCTTGAATTTTATCACTACTTGCAGAAGCATCACTATCTTCGTCTTCGGAAGTATCAATGTCAGAGTCTTCTTCTTGTGTCTCCTCATTATGTCGTTCATCTGCTTCTTCATCAATAGTAGCTAATTGAGATTCTTCATTTTCTTTAAGATTATATTGTTGAATGAGTCTTTCTTGAAGAAGCATAACAATTTTTTGAGCTTCAAGGAAACAATTTTTCATTTTCAAGTTGGGTCTGAGTTTTTTTAATACATCTGTAACCATGTAATCCACCGTAACTGGAAAAGGATTTTGAGTATCCCAAGTAGTACTTGATTTTTTTAACCAAAAGTAATATTGAAAGTATAAAATAAAACAATCTAATTTAAGTTTACCAGGGCCTCGGTTGAAAAATTCACCACAAGTGTCAAGTAAAACGCATATAAGTTTTAATCTAAATAAATTTTGAGGAGGATCAAAAGTGGAATAGAAATCTGGATCATATACAACACCAAATGAAACAAAACTGTACAATACTTTGAATACATCATTGCTTTCTATTAATCTATAATTATACAGCTCACCAAAATATTTGATCATAGCTATTCTTCTTTGATTAAATTTCACCAAGTTTGTTTCAAGACCAACACGTATATCTTCCATAACACCATCAACAACACGTGTTCCAATTGAATCATCGTAATCAACAAAAGCTGCAACCAAACATGCTAAATCTGAAATCATTGGATACGTAACATTCCACGCTTCGGTTAAACATTTTATCAAATAAGTTTTTTCTGCCAAATTTTCCCAGTCCATTTGTTTTAGAAGACTCAAAATCATATTTTCTTTTTCAGGAGCATCTTTTAGCTCATTATACAATAAATGTCTTATAAACTCGTGTAATATTGGTCTTTGCTTTTTCATAATAGCTGGTGAATCAGTAGGATTAACAAAATAGTAAGCATTTTCAATCATTGTAACATATACTGGTCTAAGTGCTGAAATGGATTTGACTCTCATCATTTGTTCTAAGTATATTTTGGTACGGTGGTGACTTTCTGGCGAACGATATAAAAATCTACCAGCTGTTTCTAATAAAGCACAACCCATTTCTATATGATGATGAGTAAAATCATTTAGTAGCATTTTAAAACAGTGCAATGCTTCAGATTTGGCCATTAAGTTAAATTTCACCATTTCTCCAATGTAACGTACGACTTTAAGTTTTGTTTCTATGTTAATCTGATCTTTTTTCTTTACATTATATCTGAAGTCACTTTTTAATAAAGAACAAAGTTCAAGTCCAACTTCTGGCATTAAAGGATTTAAAATTGCTACTAGACGTGTATAGAATGGCAAAAGATCTACTCTTGTTCTAGGTACACTAAACAGAACTTTAACTAATTTCTTACGATTGTTCTTGGTGTTAAGATTTATTAAAAATTCTATTGCCAAATTGTCAATCATTTCTCGATTTACACACTTTGGTAGCTGTTCAATAAATGTTTCAAATACAACTTTGGTACCAATATTGGATACTTCAATTTCAGCAGCATCTTTAATGTCCGAAATGCTTTTCTTAGCATTACTTTCTATATCAATTTCTTCAGGTTCATCTAATTTCTTATTTTTATCAGGAATATAATTACTAAGATTTGGAAATTCTTCATAAAACTTCTGAGTCTCTTCATCTTCCCAAAGACTTGTTAGTTCTGATGGTGTTGCTGTTCCAATTATGTCTAACTCTGAATCAGTCAAATCTTCAGTTGAACTATTTTTTTTCTCTTCTTTTAACATAATGAATGGTTCATTAAGTATATCAGCAAAAGTCAATGTGGAACTGTAAAGTTTTTGATATGTAACATTCATTTGTTCATTTTTAGCTTTACGTTCTGGTCTAAGTTCACCTTTTGTTTGTAATATTTTTTCATTTTGTTTTTCTGCATACTCAATATCATGATGCATTCTTTTTACATGATTACATAAAGATACATAGTATTCTTTCAATAGAACCCTAACATTTTTTTGTTTGTCGCTGGAAAGCATATCACTTTTAGGAATTTCAACATCATATTTTTCTGCCAATTTTTGCATTTCTTTTGGAACTAATCCAGCATAGTCATCACCACAATATTTACAAAAGCTTAGTATAATATTTAAATTGTTATGTTCCTGAAGATCTGAGTTAATCAAGATGGTCAGTATATTACCAAGTAAGATAAGACCTTCTTTTTGTGGTACAATACCAGCTGATGTAAGTTCAGCAAAAAGCCTAAGATCAACTCTAAATTTGCTCATGTTGGCAATCTTATCATCTTTTTTAATGTTTAAAATTTTTTGCCACTGTTCAAAGAAAATTTTTGAAAAATCAGAGTAGGTTATGTTTAACTGAGTGCATAATAATATCATGGCATCAATTTCTGTCATTTTAAGTTTGATTTCAGTAAGAGCTGACACGACTTCTGATAAATATTTAGTCAAATTCAAAGAATTCATATCTTTGAGTAATTGGTCTAATTGAGGTGGAGGAAAATTTTTAAGTTTCCTTATGAACGCAGTATTTTTTTTTAGACTAGAATCACGTTTAGATATTTCAGATTCATCAGGGAACACACATTCTTGATTGTTTTGTCTTAATTTTTTCTTTTCTTCTTGTCTAGTAACACATTCCGAAATGAAACCCATTAATGTTTCTCTTTCTTTTTTTTCTATGTCTTCTTCCGTTTCCACTGAGACAGCCACAGGTGGTGGCAATTCATTCTGTTCTGATTTACCACTCGTAGATGGTAAAACAGGAATATTACCAATTGATTGTCGCACATTGTCTACGACTTTTGAAAGATTTTGCAATGAGTCTGATACTTCAACAGGGACTTTAGATGTATTAGTTCGCTTAGCACAGTCGTTCTTCATGTTTTCATAATAAACAGTAATAGTTCACACGATATGATAAATATATTATTTTAAAAAGTACTTAATTTAATTTTTAACGAAAAAACGTACGAAATAGTCTTACACTACGACGCCGAAAAAGGAAAACCGTTAAAGACGACGTTTTATTTTCAATAACATCCTAACACTCGTGAGTCGTAGTTGACGCGGAAAAAAAAACATCAACATAATAGATTACCAGTAATCAGTAAAAACGATTGGACGAATGAAAACATTGTTATTCGTTATAACGCGTGATCATTCGTCCATATACCATATACTATTCTGTGGTATGTATGAGGTCTATGCGCTTTTCAAACATTAAAACTTTATAGGTTAAACAACAACACGTGATAAGAAATTGATATGATAAAGGATCTCGCGTGTCCGTGTGTTTTTGCCTTATGCCGTATTTGTTGTTCACCTCTGTTAATACAAATCAATCGTGAAATAAAAATAAATCTGTTGCTGAATGTGCTGTCGTTGTTTGATTTTCGCGTCGAATAGCCGAAGAGAAAATAATTATTTATCTAGTTTTTTAATATGAGCATGTTACATGTTAACTCACCGGACAATAACACAAGTTCTGACGAGGAGGAAGAAGATGAAGAAGCCAAGGTATTTGCAAGATTTTATATTGGTTTTTATATTTATTTGCAAAACATAAAATTCAATTATAAAATATATTTTTTTGTTTTTATTATTTCATATTTTTTGTATTAGGAATTGACAGATGATGTGGAGAAGAGTTTTTTCAAAGCGCTATCTTGTCTTAAAAAAAATGATCCTAAGATTTATGATGAATCTGTTAATTTTTTCGATCAATCAACCCGACGGACTACCAAAAAAACTGCTGTGAAAAATTCTAATCCCATGTATTTAGAAGAATACAAAAGGAAAATTTTATTAGAACGTGGTCCAGAATTTGATGATACTGAAGAAGTAAATGGTAATTTATATTGATTCTGTTCAATCTTTGAAATAAACAATACAATTTGTTAAATTTTAATTTAAGATTATATAACTTGATTGGAAACTAAATTATAATAATTTAGTAAAATTGTAAAAGATATTTATTCTCAAATATATTTTTATCAACTTATATTTGAATTTAGAAGTAAGTAATTAATAAATAAATGCTTAGCCTGGTTTATTGTAATATTTGTAATGCATGACTGGTTTTGAATTATGAAATCAACATCAAGTTTATACTAAGTCATTAACATCAATATTGAATATGAACAAGTTAAGGAAGAAATTCATTGCAAAAAAATTGGTTATTTTACTTAAAGATAATTTATTTTAATAGGAGAGATTGTTAAATATGAGGTCTTATTAAATATAGATATGTTAAGAAATAAAAACATTTTGGTTATTATTTATTATTATCTAAAATTAATTATTTTAATAATAATATCTTATCTTATTAAACAATAATCAAAATTATTTTTTAATGAATCTATGTCTTATAAGATCTAATTTTAAATAATCTTTTCTATTAAAATAAATTGTCTCAATGCTAAACAATTCATTTTTTTATCTTAAGTTGCAGTTTTATTGACTTTGTATATATATGAAGATGAATTTTTAATTAGAAACCGGTCGTACATTACAAATAAAATAATACTCCGGGCTAAACACTTATTTTTTTATTTGTATATTCATTTACGAGTATTAATAATTTATTAATTTTTGATTTATTTTATTACTTTATTATTTATATATAGATGTTTTAAAAAAAGAAAAAATACGCATGTCATCACCCTCATATGTAGAAGAACAGCAGGCTATTAAAGAAAGTTTCAAAGGAGCTCTTGATGATAATTCTGATGATGAAGATATTTTAAAGCCACGTGTGAAAACTAAAGAAGAGCAGGTGAATTCAATAAAATTATAAACATTGATGTTTAAACAATGAATATTTTTATAATAATTAGATTTATTAATTGTTATAGGAAAAAGAAGATAAAGATTATTTAGAGTGGCTTAAAGGGAATATAGATGAACCTGAAGACAAAGAAACTAAGAATGATCTTCAATATTTACATGATTATTGGAACAATCCTAATTTAGAAGAAGGAGAACAATTTTTATGTGATTATATCTTAAATAAAAGGTAGTTAAACTTTTTTTAACTATTAATATTTTTAAAATAAGTATTTGAAATATAATAAATTATTTTATGATTTAAGATTTTTAGAAAAACCAAAAGAAGAAAACTTAATAGAAGATGAAATGCAATTTTCTGAAGAGGATGAAATGCTTGAAAAACATGAAGAGTTTGAACATAAGTATAACTTTAGATTTGAAGAACCTGATAAAGAGTTTGTAAGAATATTTTACAATTTAATAAAATTACAGAAGTTTTTTTTATTGTTTACTAAGAAGGTTGGACAAATTAATACTACAACTTTTTAAAATAAAATATATATTTTAAATAAAATAAGTATATGTTTTAATTAAAATTTTTTATATTCATATTTAATTACTTATGTATTTATATATTATAAATGTCTGTAGTGCTCAAATACAGTTAAAATAAATTACAATAAATAATTTAACTTCAGAAAATGGTTAAATTGAACAAAACATAAAAATTATTAGTTATTATTATAATTAGTAATACTCATAATATATTTGGAAATAATTAAAAGATAGAGATTACGATAATATTTTAAAGACATATATTTTTAGATTAAAACTTACCCTCGTACAATGGAAAATTCATTAAGGCGCAAGGAAGAAAAACGAAAGAAAAAAAGAGAAGAATTAACTGAAAGAAAAAAAAAAGAATTAGAACAACGATCTTTAGAAATCAAACAACTCAAAAAAATAAAAAAAAAAGAAATTGTTGATAGAATTAGAAAACTTCAAGAAATAACTGGAAATAAAGGTGTAGGATTTGAGGTATGTACTATATTATTATAAATATATAATTATATTAAATACTTAAATAATTTATTATATGATATTCAACACTATAGGATACAGAATTAGAAGAAGATTTTAACCCTACTGAGTATGATCGTAAAATGCATGAGTTATTTGACGAAGAATTTTATGATAAAATGGATGATGAAAAACCAGTATTTGATAAAGAGGAAGATGAATTTATTGTATGTATTTTTATTTATACTAATTTATAAATAAAATTGATATTATGTTATATGAGAATACAAAATTATATGTTTAATATGCCAATGCCATCGTGTTACAATTTTATTTTGGTTAGATGGATTGTGATTATGATCCAAGTATGGATAAGAGGGCCAAAAAACAAACTAGAGCTGCAAAGCGAAAAGAAAAAAAGAAATTATTAATTGATGAAGAAGAAAAAGATGAAGAAATCAATGATAATAGAAAAAATAGAAAAATACCAAAGTATAATTCAGCTATGGGATCATTTGAAAAATACATAGATGAATATTACAGCTTAGACTGTGAAGATGTGGTTAGTGGTGTACCAACACGATATACTTATAATAAAGTACTTCCCAATGATTACGGTCTAACAATTGAAGAGGTACTATAAATAGTTGTTCCATTTCTTATAGTTTACTAATTTGATATTTTAAATATGCTTTAGATTTTGTTAGCTGATGATGATGAACTTAACAAGTGGTATCCTTTAGGAAAATTGACTAAAATTCAACCTGAAGCAGTTCAAAAATTTGAAGCTAAAATTTATAAACGGAAAGCCAAGGATATAGAATTAAAAAAGAAAATTTTGCCCAGTCTTTTTAAAGAAGAGTATGTTTACAATTGTATATATAAAATAAATAACATTTATATTATTATTACATTAACTAACTTTAACTTCTATAAAATACCTTATTTTTTTATACATTAACTTAATTTTACATTTACCCTGTTACATTTAATTGTTATTGTTTTAATTTTGGGCAATATTAGTACAACATATAATTGATTATTTAATTATACACATTTACACATTAAATAATAATAATTAATTTACACATTTTGTATTTCTGTTTGTTATTTTATTGAGTTATTTTGTTTTGTAGATTAAATGAACTAAATGAAATACAAGAAGAAAATAAAGAAACCATATCAAAAAAAAATAAGAAAAAGAAAAAGAAACCGGTTAAGAATATTTTCAAAGTAGAAGAAGTATCACCTGAAAACAATAATGAAACTAAGGATATAAAAGAAAATAATAGTTATCAGTTTAAAGATACAATTGTTGAAGATTGTGAAAAAGATCAAACAAGTCCTTCTCAAAATACTAAGAAAATTAAAAAATTTGAAAAAAAGTTTACGCAAAATGGAAATGAAGTTGCTAAAAATGTTGAAAAAGGTGAAACAATAAAAAAAGACCTTATAGCAAATGGTAAAAAAGATATAGCAAATGATAAAAAATGTAATAAAAATATTAAAAAAGGTGAAAATAAAAACGTAAATCGTACACCAGATAGTAAAAAAATTAATAAAGTTTTTAAAAAAGGTGAAAAACGAAAAATAGACCATATCAAAAATGGATCAAATAAAAAACGAAAGTTTTCAGATAAGAAGTTTAAATCTAATAAAGAATCTAGTGCTCTAGAATTAATGACAGATGATCGTTTAAAAGCATATGGAATTAATCCAAAAAAATTTAGAAATAAATTAAAGTTTGGTAATAAACAATAAAACTATTAAATAGTTAAATTAAAGTTGTTTTATTTTTGTAAATTAACATAATTTAAATATTAATACTAATGAATATATGTGGTTTTGAAATATTTTACTTGATTATATTTAATAGAGCTTGGATTTGTATGCTCTATAACTAATAATAAAAAAGTATAAAAACTACTTACATTCTACCCAAGTAAAAAATGGACTGTATATATTTATAAGTAATTTACAAATTATTATATACATTTACCTGTTCATTAACAAAATATTGAAACAGCATCTATCTTGTATCTGAATTGTCTTCAAACTCAAAAGTATCATATTGTCTTCTAATTTCTGGTAAATTAAGCTTTACTGTGTAACACTTATCTGTAAAATCTTTTGATGAATGAATACCATAAAACTGTTGACATATTTTAAAATAAAATATTTTTGTTAGAGCTATAACTAATTGAATTGAAAATTGTGAAGAATCTTGATAAACGAAATCATATAGAATGTAAGTAACCTAATTCATAGATTTTCAAGTATTTTTTTGATTCCATAACCATACTATTTATCTGTAAATCTATTCTGTTGTGAGTTAATGGACCATAAATCACGATAACTTGATTGATTGAATAAACATTTATAACCATTACATCTTAAATAGTACTACAGATAACATTTAACCATTATAAGTGTAGTATCTAATTTGAAGTACTTTGTGGCAATGACGTAGTGACAAAATCTCAGACCCTGGCGCAATTATGTAAACCACTACACCAGGGACAGATTGGCCTATCGGGAAATCGGGAATCTTCCCAATGGGCCGGTCCTTATTTGGGCCGCTCCATATTATTATATAATCACCTAAAAAAAAGTTTTATTTTGTAGAATAAATAAAAATTATTAAAAAAATAAATATATAATTAAAAATGCATTAAGATCAAACTTCAAGTTCAAGTTGGAACTGATTAATCATGTGACTTACCCAAAACTATTATTTTTATAGAAAAGTTATTGTAGATTTTACTAATTTAGAAACCAAACAAATTTTGAAATTGATGAAAAATAAAGAATTTTTTTGGGAGGGTTGGGGTAAAATAGTATAATTTGCGGTTCATGGGCCGGTTTATTTCATATTTCCTGGGCCGAAAATAATTGCCAATCCGCCCCTACACAACACCCACCCATCCTTACAAGTTTCTTAAATTGTATTTATATGTACTGTATAATATTAACCGACAGTTTTGTCACATAAATATAAATACTATTTGATGGTTGTTACTTGTAGATGAACTATAAGCAATAAGCAAAATAGGAAGTTTTGGAACCCGTGAATCAGATTGTGGATACCCAGCTCTACCGTATATTTCTAGAGCTGACACAGTTGCATCAGGCAAAACGCCGTCGCTACGCCATTGCTTTGTGGTGCTTTGTTGCTCTGTTACACAATAGACTGTTCTCTAATAAATGATAGTTATTGACCCTCATAGATTATACATGTTGATTTTGAATTTTTTTCTTATGACCTATTCATTTCTTGAATAATTTACGTGCTGCGTTACTTAACGGTCGAAGTAATCGAAAGTTTTTAAAAATATTAATAATAAATATTAAGTCGTTTTGAAAACTGGCGGGGCCCGCAGAACTGATGTAACACACGAGGGGCGCTGATAGTTCAAGACTAAGTGATAAGAATTTACGACGCCGCTTCCGGCTGTTCCGTGAACGTTCCCGATAAACAAATAGCAATTGTCTATCGTCATTCAAAATATTAATTGTAATTTCGATTATTATTTGTCACTCACTCACTGTAGTCTTTTTCTGTTTTCTTTTCTTTTTTTTTCCTCCCATAAGTTTTGATTTTCTAGAAACCAAAATGTCGTGGATACCCTTAGAATCCAATCCAACGGTTAGTAAAGTATAGAAATATTATGATTTATAGTGACTGTATTCATAGGCTTGTTCAATTAAATACTGTTCCATATCAATAGGAACTGATGTTTGCTAGCAAACATTAATTAAAGTTCATATATCATAATAGTTACCTAGTTTTTTATGTTTGATTACGATATTTAAGTTGCACCATTAATTCATATAAATTATATGTTTATGTTTTAGGTTATGAGCAAGGTAAGAAATAATTTTCAAAATTGCAATATCAATTTTTCGTAAGTTAGGTCAGGTTAGTATGTATGTTTTTTAAAGCTTTGAACGATTAAATTTTGCAACTAGGTGATATAAAATAAAATAATTTTTTCTAAATTTTATAATATTTTTATTGGTGTTTATTGTAAAGGTATTGCATTTCTAATGTATTTAAGTGATTACCTTGATATGTATCGTCTATTATAACTTCTATAACGGTACTTTGATTAGTAGGTGTTTCGTTAAATTTTGTTTCCAATGTTTAGAAGATTTTTAGATTTCGAACATCTTCAACCGTACAATGATTTTGTATTTCCTCTGTTAATACTTTTTGGTAGTAAATATATCTTGAAAATGCTTTAAAAGACTAAATTAGATTTAAATGATTGGTATTAGAGTAGATTTTAATTTTGTCATCTCCTGTATGATTGTGCTCTGGGAGTAACAATATCAAATTACCAAGTTAGATATCAATTTCAGAATTCAGAATTAATATTTTTTTTAGTGCCATAAGTGTAAATATAAAAAGCATTTTCTACAATTTATTTTTAGTTTTTGCACGACTTGGGTGTGCCGAAAGAATGGGAAATATGTGATGTATTTGGATTTGGGCCTGATGAACTTGCCATTGTTCCAAGACCAGTTGCTTCTGTCATTATGTTGTTTCCGTACAATGATGCTGTAAGAGATTTATATATATTTTAAATAATATTTATTATTTGTAATAATCTATTATATTCACTTAAAGTATCAAAAACGTAAGGAAGAAGAAGAGGTGAAATTAAAAGATAAAGGTCAACAGGTATCAGATAATGTATATTTTGTGAAGCAATTTATACATAACGCCTGTGGTACTATGGCTCTAATACATAGTGTTGCTAATAATAGAGATAAGTAAGATTGATTTTATGATTGTTAACTCCACTCTATATTCATAAATATATTTAAATATTAAAATTGAATTTGTTTTCAAGAATAATACTTAATGATGGAATATTAAAACGTTTTTTGGATGACGGAAAAAATATGTCACCAAGTGATCGCGGTGAAATGTTAATAAAATCTGAAGATATGGTTAATACTCACAGGGAAATCGCTACTGAGGGACAAACTGCGGTAATAATTTATAAATAATTATTATTATAATTTATAAAAAAGTTAATATTTTTCTTTTTCTTATATTACTAAAAACTATACATAACTATTATATTGTTAAGTTATTAACAATATAATAGTTTTACTGTGATGTATAATTTTTTTATGTATATCTACTATTTTTTTTATTATTATTTAGAAGTGTTCTAAGATACTTATATACCTTAAAAATTCTATTGATAGGTGGCAAATTTAATAATTATAGCATAAGGCTATATTTAAGTAGACATTTATTGTTGTAATCCTTAAAATTTTATTATTTTGTTGTTGATTAGTAACAGATTACTCAGTATTTATAGGTTTAGTATAATTTAAAACAAATCTTTAACTTTTGGATTGCCCATAAAGAGTTGCTGGAACTAATTGTTATTGATTTAAAGAGCTAATATCCTTTTTGACACTAAATCTATTTTCATTGATTATGCTTGGTCAGTGTTATCTACATTAACTTTTTTGTCCAGTTATTTAATTTATACTTTAATATGTGGTTGAAAAAATGATCATAAAGATTTATAGACTTATGGGATATGGTTATATCTGGACTCCTTTGATATTGGAATATTTCAATTCATATAATAGATAAAATCTAAATTAACTGAGTATTTCAAATGAATTTTGTTGAAATAAAAATCTCTTGTATAATCATGGATTGTTTGAAAATTTAAATATCAAATACAAATAGTAGAGCGCGGATTTATATGCATTAAAAACCAAACAAATATGTGCTAAAAAAAACCCTAAATATGCATAAAAATATGCAAAAATATGCGCTAAAAAAGTTTCATTTATTTAATTGTTATGTTATGAAACAAATTTTGTGTTCACTTAGCATATCATATAATCAACCAGAATAAATATGCAAATGCATACTAATCCATGTTCCACTTATTTGATACCTATCCATTTCTTCTAGTTTTCAACAGTAACTATTTTCTTTATAATTTTTATATTTTCAGCCACCTGATCCAGAAGATGTTTTACCTTATCATTTTGTTGCATTTGTTTGTAAAGATGGAAGTTTATATGAATTAGGTGAGAGCAAATTTATAATAATCTATTTTAAAAAGTTCCTAATTAAATAAAATAATTTATATTATAATAGATGGTGGAAAGTTTGACCCTATTAATCATGGACCCACAAGTCCAGACTCATTACTTGAAGTAAGATTATAGTTTATTATTAAATAAATTATTTAAGTAAAATACTATTCTAAATTGTATGCTTATTTTGTTTTTCTTAGGATGCAGTTAATTTAATCCAAGAAAAATTTATTGTTCAAGATCCAGAAAGTGTTTACTTCACACTATTGACTTTATCCAATGTTAGTGATGCATATTAAAAATCTCAAATTCATTTTCTGATATTCTGTTTTTGATAAATTTTGTTACGAAAACATTGTTTCAATCATATAAACTAATTTATAATTATATATCTTTACATAATTTTTATAAAAATTATAAATATTTTTTTAATGGATAAATTAAATTATGCTCTCTTATAAGAAATAATGAAAATGGTTCCAAGGATCCAAATTAATTGGTTTTGATTTATTTTTTATTATTATTAAAGTAAAAATTCATTAATGAATTATAATGTTTAATGATTCATTTTTCATAATATTTTATGGGTATTGAAAATGGTGGTTTTCTTCTGTCCATCATACATGTAACATAGGAATAAAGACTTTCTATTTTAAACTTACCTATCAACCTATTGATGTCATTGAAGTTTTGAAAACTGATTTATCATTAGGTTAACTTGAAAATGAATAACTTTTTAGTCTACTTAAATAATAAAAATAATACATTATTACTAGTATTTTTACCTTTAAATTTATTTATTGCTTTTAATTTATAAAAAGTAATAATTACATCTACAGTTGTACAATCATAGATTATGATAAAAATATATCATGAGCATAATGATTTTATTTAATGTTTTGAATAAATTAAACAATTATTAGAAAATGAATTCTCAAATAGTTTATATTTGTTTAATTTACAAATTTTAAAGTATAAATTTATATTTAATACATTCTGAATTTATAAAACTCTTATACTATTTTACTTCTAACTTTCGTTAAATTTTAATTATAAGTGTCAATTATATTACTTACATTTAATTTTCTCTATCATAAAATATCCTTTCCTTTTCCCTTTGAATATAAGTCCTGGTTGCGTTACTAGGTATTTTACTACGGAGTAGTTCAGATGTGTGCTGTTAAATTCTGTTTCTTAATACATTTCACCTATTTTAATAATAAAATTTCAAAACTGAACGTTGAATTTTTGCCGCAATGAAACATTGAAATCAGCTTTGATACATGTGCTGCACTTGTTGTATATTGATGCATCAGCAAATGTACTCATTCATTAGTTTGAGAAGAAAAATCTATGAAAGCAAATTTATTTTTAGTACTGATTAAAAACATTTAGACATATCTATTACTTGGGATGACATAAAACTGAGTTTTCTTTAATAATATGTAGGTATGACTGTGGCTCACTTATATTAAGTACTTTACAGTTTATTGGGCCAATGATCATTCTCGATTTTATCAATTTAATATTGATAGCTGAATAATTTGTTTAAAGTTCTCATGAACATAGTCGTCTAACACAGTGAGATGTAAGCTTTAACGTGTGCTTTTTCACTGACTACGCTTGTGCTAATATTAACGTACCTTCCTATGAAAAAATATTCCCGTGGAATTCTCAAATAAAATACACAATGATACATAATAATAATTAATAATAATAATAATAATATAATAATACTAATAACAATAATAATACATAAATATATATTTTATATAATGAGCTATAAAGTATGCTAATTATCAACATTATATATTTTTCAACCCCTGCCCCCCACCACGAAATATTATCTTGTAACGAAAAATGATCTTGTGATTTAGTAGTAACAGTAGGTACCCATCGCTATTTCATCACCTATACACCTTTCCTTTATTATTATTATTTTTTTTGATTGGAGAATCATTTAATATAAATCGGCTAAAGCAAACTTTGTGGCACACCTGAGGAATACGCATCAGAGTGTCATGGCACTGGTGTGTTTAAATCGTTGGTGACTAATGCATGACTTCACGAGTGCACTATTATTAAGTAGGTATAAGGATGACATATATACTCGAACTATTATTAATTTTTTACAAATACTGCTGTAATGATAGTATTAAACACTCGCAGTATTTGATTTATGCCTATTAAGTAATATTATCAAAGGTGGGCATTATCATCACATGGTGACAGTAGGTAATTATTACTATCGTGAAAAATTTAAATCATGTGTAGAATTATTGAAAAACTAGTTGCAAATGACGTTGTAATTATCAAAGAGGCCAGAAAACACATTTCTGAAGTTGGTATTGAAATAGATTTAACTTATATAAAGTCCTATTTTACAATTTTAACCGTTTCCATTAGTAAGTTACAAGAAAAAGAACTGTTACTAACCAAAGTTACACATTTATTTGGAAATGTAGAAAAATATTTTAAACTCTTAACGGATCAACTGTAAAAGCTATTATCAACGAGTCATTTCGGGGTACATATTTCCCTCTTTTCAGTTCAATTTTCCCGATTATGTGTATGTTTATTTATATTTATTTATGTAACACTTGAAGCAATGGCGTAGCCATGATTTTTTTAAGGGGAGAAGGGGGTTTGTAATGAAATGTAACTAGTGAAGGATTTCACATTCTCTGAAATATACTCATAAATTGTTTAAATATATTACAATATTACGTTTAACTTTTAACAATTTATTTAAATAATTTTTTTTTCCTTTTTTTTACAAATATATTAAAAATATATTAAAAAAAAAAAAAAAAAAAAAATAAAAATAAATATACGTATACAATAACAATAGTATTTAATAACATATTATGTTTTATAACAGTCTAATGCGGCGATTCTTTCTGGCCATATTTTCAATAACTTTTTCAACTGTTACTTTTACATCACGGTGAATGTTCATTAATGCTAACCCGTTCAGTCTATTTTCAGTTATTGTGTTCCTGAGATATGTTTTCAAATGCTTAAGTGACGAAAATGATCTTACACTAGTAGCAATAGTAACTGGTAAAGAAGCTAAAATATTTAATAGTGTGTATATTGAATGGTATATGTTTTCGTTATATTCAGCTAAAGTAGATACAACATTTGTTATGGGTTTTGTTTTTATTTGTTGTTTCCATAATGAAAATTCCCCCAAAGCTGAATAGTCACCAGCTTCAATAACAACTTTAAAGGTTTTAAAAAGTACTTTGAATCATTCATCACTACTTTCTTTATTTTTTACAAAAAAAAAAAAAAGAAAATTACTCAAAATTGATTTGCGTGCTAAAAATCTGTCATTTAATTGTTGATTAAGACTATCCAAAAAAGGAATATATAAAGAGACTGTAATATGACTCAGCCAAATATGTGATCACATTTATTCTATGCTCTTGTTTGTTTGCTAACCTAGGGACTTTTATATTGATATCAAACTTTTCAGATTTTTTCAACACATCGTTATATATATTTTTAAATTGTTTTTCTGCTTCAGCTCTTCGTCGAGTTATTACGTTTATTACATTTTCTGCAAGTTCTATTTCTTCAGCGAGATCTAAATTTAAATCTTGTAATTTTTTACTTAATGGTAAATTTACTGAAAAAATGTTTGTCCGCTGGAACTACACCCATGTTCCGTCTATTAGCATAAGGTCTATGGTGAATTAGGCATAACAATACATTTTACCACGACCAAATGATTGTGTTCCTATAGAAAATATATATAATAAACATTATATTTTTGATATAAATACGGTCGTGGGGAAGTTAACCCCCCATATCTACAGTTATAGGTGAAAATTCTGAAAATATATTTAAATGCACCATAGAACCGATGTAATTTTTTTTTCTTTATTAGTTAAAACGATCCAAATATATTCGTTTTTATATGTCTTGATATAATTATCTGTAACTCTGTTTTCGTAACCTTATTGTATATGATTTCATTGCACACTTTAAAATGTTGTAGTATAAAGTTTACTTTTTGTACCACACAAAATGCGTCGTAGTACACCAATTTTATGCTCAAGACCATATAGTTATAATAACAATAATAATTATTATATGCATATCGTTTAAATATCATATTCCTTTGTTTACCACATGGGTAATATTTACGACGAAATCAACGTTATCGATTTGATAATATTTTTAGGCAATACACTTTAAAATTCTGCTGTAAATTTGACTGCTATAAAACAATGTATCAATTGCTAAGAATCGCTTGTCAGGCAATAAATCGAATATTTACGTTTGTTGAGCGCCTTACGCATACTCACGGGTATATACCCAGTATACTTACATTGTATGTATGTATGCGTGTATGTATTTTTTATACGTAAACAAGACAAGTTATTTTAAATATGTACAAGCATAATACGGAATATTGTAATAAATATAACGTGTTGGTTCGGAGAATGACTGTGACTGAACGCAATGTCAAGTGTAGGCGTTCATGACTTGCGAAACGTTCACATCCGAATTTGATATTCTACACATGCGCTACAGGTGCCCGTACTATTGTAGCTGGATGATGTATATTACATAGCTGGACGTGTTCGCGCTCACATGCGCACACCAGATAAACCTATGCAGAATAATAATCGTCTTCTGATTATTTTCAGACCGAAATCGTTATTAGCTACGTACTACTTTGAAACATAATAATATGGTATTACTTGAGGATGAGCCCATGCCGTCGGCCGTGATAGACATCTCGGATGACGTAATTTTCTATAATATTATTATTATTTGTTCGTTTTGTTTTCCGCGCGCTCAAATTTCTAATACACAATAATATAATGCCGTTTGTACATCCTGCATATTTGCCCTTTGATTTCACCTATTGACACTACAGCTCGTGCGACACACACACCAAGCGTGCACTCTTCTAAGTATAATTATAATATAAACTTTATGAACACGTTATGTTTACGTACCGAGCGATGAATACCGAAGTACAATGTTATGTTTTTAATTTTAGGTATTCCGAGTGGAGCGAGCAACAAGCAAGTATGCGTTTTATGAATATCTATATAATAATAACGGTTATCAAGTCGGTTCCTCAATTCCAGCTATAACCTATAATAAATATATATATATATATATAAGGCCGTAACTGGAAAAAAATTTCGGGGGGGGGGGTCTAAAATGATTATCTAATATAATTTATAGTTAATAAACTATATTCACCGCTAAAATGTTTCTACTTTTGAAAATTTTGGGGGGGGTCTGGACCCCTGGACCCTCCCAGTTACGACTTTGTATATATATATGTTTCTTGTAAATATATGATCTAATATCTCTGGTGGCAGTCCTTTGACAATAGTTGTCTCGACTACATACGTTCAGAGGCCTTTATCATCATGTATCGAAATGCACTACGTGACATTTTTTTTGTTAATATGTATTTATCTACCTTAACTATTAATGAGACTAATTGTTTAAATTAATGTTTTTTTTAATCCTATTATTATTTATGTGTTGTACCTATAGTAGTTTTTATTTTATTCACGTGTATCCAGCTGCATTTATTTGGATATAAATGTAATAAATTATTTAAGTGTTAGCTAATTTAATTTAATATTTAATATCTACACAAAAAATGGATTAAACAAAAATTAATTAAATATTTAATATTAATAGGTATATATAATAAGGTTTATGTAATACAATAGCTGATTAACATACAATTTATAAATTATAACAATTAAGATTTTTATCACTAGGTATACACCCATATATTTTATAAATTGATAACAATAACTATATATATACATTTTAGTTATATTAAGACTGAATATATAGTTCATTCAATTAATTAATTGTATTTGTAGAGTAATATTTTTATTTATTAAGTAACTAATAATCATTTTAAAATTATATAACGTATTATAATCGATATAGATTTAATAATGATATGCTCTATGAAGTATAATTTTAAAACTTACAACGTATACATATAAAATTCAAACACCTCTTATTCACTCATTTAACAGCGTACCACCCAAAATTACCATACCAATTTTTTTGAAATTTTCCATTAATGTACTTATTACTATTTATAGGCGTATTAAGAAAGGATTTTTCAAAAATCGCATTTTTAGGAATCGAAACAGTTTTAGACTCTGAATGTACACATTTTTTCATCTTTTAGTTACCTAGGAAGTATTTTAATTTGAATAATTACAAATTGAGGTACAAATTAATATAGTATAAATCAATAAAAATAAATATGAAAGATTCGACGTTTGTACTGAAAGTATTTTTTAAATTATAATTATTGGTTGATCATGTTTAATTCCTAGTTCTTTTCCTTATTCGAATTTAAAAATAAATATTTTAAAATTCACATAGGATATCCTTATAAATAGTAAAATTCTCTAAATTATACATGAACGTGATAAAAATTTAAAATGGCTATTATATGAAAATAGAGTTTGTGTGTACAAGAAATATGGTGCATACACAGTGATGATAACGCGCCAATGACTTAATAGGTAGAAAAACATATTTGAATACAATTATATTTGCTGTGTATCAATGTTAAGTTGATCATTATATAGGTATGTTCCGATAGATGGATATGTTACAGATATATTTTATTCAGTCGTACAAACGTTTTATGGATAATTGATTTAGATACTTCAAACTACGTGTGGGTATACATTTCAGACATAAGATAAAATACCAAGATGGTACGGTATATGATCGTATGGCCCTGAATGAATTTGTGTCTATCTATATATTTATATACATATTGCATTATGTGTAGAACTATTCGTAATATTATTATCCTTAATGAGCAGAAATGCTTCAGTGTATATGCGGACCATTTGTATTACATCTAATACCTCTCTAAATTATAATATATGATTTGACGATATGTTTGGTTTTCATATACCATAACTTATGGTCACTACAACCGTCGTAAGTTGAGTCCGTGTATTAAAGGACATACGTATGGTTAACCGTACGGTTATACGATACATTTATTCGCATGCGGATAATATTCACTGCGTACCTATAGGTTAGGATAGTATAGGTAATTATTAAAACCAAAATATTAAATTAAGTTAAATATTTCAAAGGTAATAAAAATTTGAAAAATGTATACATCCAGCCCAAAACCGTTTTGATCTTAAAAAATTTCTTTACATTGAATATCTAGAGTATTAGAAAAATCACTATGTTAATTATTAAGTTTATACGTTATGTCATTTTTGAGATGTAGCGATGAGTAAGATGAGTGAGTGATTAGTGGCAGCAGTATTGGCCGGGACATTTTTTTATGGGTTATTACATTATTAAAAGCCTAGTATGGTACAACTGTTGGTTATAAAAAAAATAAAATTCAATTTCAAATGATTTGTTATAGTAGTATTGGTTGAACGCATTATCCGAATTTGCATCACGTTTTTGTTGGTGCCAATATTTTTTAAAATCCCTTTTTATTGCACGTCTAGAGTATTGAAGAAATCACAATGTGAAATTTAAAATTCATACATTTTTTCGTTTTTGATATGTAGCGATGATTAGTGAGCGAGTAGTATTTGCAATTTTTTAAAATAGGTTTTTTTAATTATTTAATTAATTATTTATTTAATTTTATTTCTAAAGAATATTGAGCCCAACTAGATTAGATTAGATAGACTAGATTTACATTAATTACATTTAACTTTTTAACTTTGAATGTATGTTTATTCAGTATATTATGCTTTTCTTAAAGTACCTCCTTGCTAAGCTAGATGCTTTTTTCCATATTTACCACTTTTCATTTTCCCTTATATTACCCCCTTAGAGGCTAAATTATGGAAAATCCTTTTTATGAGATTTAAATACCATAAAACAACACTATTCACCAAATTTTAGAGTCATAGTATTAGAATTTCTGGCTTGGTGATTTATTTCATATTTACCACTTTTCGTTTTTACTCCTTTTTATCCCCTTAGGGGTTGATTTTTTTTTAAATCCTTCCTTATTGCTGATCTGTGTGATAATAATAATTCCACATCTGAGTGTAAGTGGAACTACTATGTCAAATTTCAATTTCATATGATCTGTTGTTTTTTAGATGTAGCGATGATCGGTGAGTGAGTGGTATTTGATTTATATATGTAAATATGTATTTATTTATAGATACAACATTAAATATGCAATTAACCAATTAAGTATAATAATAATTTATATATTTATATAATAAGTAATACATAATAACAATACATATTTCTTTTGAAACACTATATGTATATAATTAGTGATCATGGAGCTATACATATGGACTAAGCAGTTAAAGAAGCATGCTAAATTACCATATAATAATATATTTTAAATATACACAAATATATACCTTGTAGTGATGTGAAATAAATCCGGATTATTCGAAAATCCATAAAATCAGGACTTCGGATTTCGATGTCTATATTTTAGATTTTAGGACTTTAGGATCCAAATTCCGGGCTATATAATTCTAATCAGAGTATTATATTTAATTGTATAAAATCTAAACTATTTCACTATAGTATAGGTATTCGTGTATATACTAAATAAACCACTAAATAGGTACCTAGTTAACTTATTTTAGTTAACATCAATATATCTATATATAAAATTATCCTAATTTTAAAATTTATTAATTTATCATCATTATTTATATGATTATATAAAGTTAATAGTTAATTAGTTGATTTAAAATAAAATTATATTTTTCACTAGTTTTTGAATCATATAAACTTTAAGTACATATATTAAATGTATTAATTTAATTTAAAAAAAGGTGAAGTGATCTATTATGATTTAATAATAATTAATAAGTTATGCACTAATTCGTAAAAGCATCCTTATTCAAGATTTCACAATAAAAACTGGGTTTAAATAAAAATTTGGATTTGAGAATTCAGAATTCGGATTTTCGGATTTTTTATTGCAGAATCAGGATTTTCAAATTTTAGAATCTGGTTCTTTCCCATCATTAATACCTTGTGCGATTCACCACCGATGTTCAAATTCGTTACCTAAATCAAATGTGTGTGAAGATATTATAAAGTGTTAAGTCTAACCTACATTTTTTATTGACTAATACATTTTATCGATTGTACCGGCTATTGTGATTTGAAATCGGTTAAGAAGAGAAAAGAAAGAATCTGAAGACAATTTAAAAAAGATGGTTAAAAATTATCAATACTGCAAGATCGCGATCAAATTAAATTATTTACAAGCATAGGTAGTAATGAAATCCTTATTGACGTGGAAATATCTTCTGTGCGCAAGACTGACAAAATGAGGTATTGTAATTTTACAATACAGAAAAAACTAGTGTTAATACGAAATAAGTTCTGATTTTTTTTTATATAAAAAATGAATTATTTATAAAAAAAAAATTCTTTAATATATTTTGGACAAGCTTTCAACGGTTTCTAAAATAATTCCCTATGGTGCCGAATACATACTTAATGTGGTGCACTTGCACCATCCAAAATCGAAGAAAAAAAATATTAATGAATAATTAACATCGGATAATCTTATAATAAATTCACGTACAACTATGGAATTGTTTTTCTAAAATTCGTATTTCACCAACATTTGACGAGTGTGTATTATTCCGATCATGGCAGAATAATACGAATAAGATTTATTTTTCTTGCTTTCCTTACGTCTGTTAAGTATAAGTTTACGCGTCGGTCATCATATTATTTACCCGCGCTTGTCGTACCGGTTATTTTATGAACATCGCAGCGCACCACCACCTACCGGTCACCACGGTGCATGTCATTAGTGGTAAATCGCACCGTCCGGGAAAACGGGGTAGCCCCGTGCCAACTGTTTTCATCGTTGATTTTTCCATCACTCTTTCCGCCATTCGACTCCATATTGTACAAATCAATTACGATTTTCACGCGAAATAATATTAATAATAATAATAATGACAATGATAATAATAATAATAATAATAATAATAATAATGATGATGATGATGATTATAATAATAGTAAGTGTATTGCTACCGCGTTGTACAGCGGTATAGGAGGGGTTTGCGGTATCCCACTGGTGTGCTGATACACGCCGGAGCTCCGCCCATTTCATTCACGATGCCCCATCGTCCGCGGCCCGCGGTCCGGTTCACGGGGTCCCGCCGCAACCAGTCCGAACCCGATCGTCGTACTGCACGTACGGAACCCATGCACATTACGCCAATCGTCCGATCGACCGTGATCTGCGGGACACAGCTGCGACATCGTATCGTTTTGAACGTTGAACACGGTTCTTCTCGCGTTCGGTTTCCTACGCGCGACCACGAGTGGTGCTGACAACACTTGCGTTACCGTTGTTATTCTTGTTACCGTTACCGCACGTCTTCTCCAACAACCTGAACCGGGGTCACCGTTCGGTGTTCGCGCGCAATCCGTTCGGATTTTTTTTCCCCGAAGCTCGTTTGTTTCATTATTGTTTGTTTGTTTGTTTTCTTTTTTTTTTTTTTTTTATATCAAAAACATTTTCCGTTAGTTTTTTATTTCAACGATAATCTACGGTTCCGGACGACCGTCATACGTGAACACCTGAGACGGCAACGCGCGCGTGCAGTTCGCATAAATGCTAAACGCTTTGGATTCCGTTGTCTCGTCCGTAGCATGGAATTGTCCTCGGTGAACTGTTCGCCTCGAGATCAAATCGTTCCCGACTCCAGTAACGGCAATAATTGGGCGAACGAACAGTTGGACTTTAATTGGCAAATGCAGGTAAGTCACGAGCGCGCGCACAACAACGCGTGTATGTTGCAATAAATACGATATGATATGTGGAAAAAAAAATAATAATAATACGAACTGTACGCAAATTGCCGATAGTAGGTAACAACGCGCGTTTGTGCGCCTATAATATAGGTACCGTAATATCGTTGAACATGTGAACGTCACCTCCGCAAACGTCGGGTTTATATTTTACGAGAAATATCTCCGACGATATGACGATTATCATAATGTTGTACCACCGCGATGTTTACGTTGATATACGTAGATCTCAAAAGTTACTTCGTGCTATTGTTATATTCAAGATCGTTTTTGGTGACATATGTTTGCTACATCATTAATTTGGTTTCGAACGTAAGACTGTGTACGGTTATTAAATTTGAATAGTAGACGAATGGTAGATGGTTGATTTTTATACTAAACGATCAATATTTTATTTTTTTAATTCTTTAAACTTTTATAAGACATAGTATGGCATACATACGTCAATATGATAAAATCGTTTTAGTTTTTAAATCATATGTATACAATATAATATTGTTTGCAATAGTTTTTGTAGAATTTCCATTTTGTGATACGCGCACTTTTGGTCACGTACAGCACTACTATCTAGTACACTTGAAGCATGGGCGTCACTAAAGTCCAAATTTTGGAGGAACAAAGTTTATTTTTAGAAAGTTAAAAAATAAATATTTAAAGGTTTAACATGATAATTGACTTACTTAAACGGCTAACTCTTCTTCATAAATTTTGGTATGACGTATAAACTATCTTATTGTCCGTATTGGACTTATCAAAAAAATATAATTGTTTTGGATACAATGTTCGTACACACTTGAATAATAAACTTTGAACATATTTTTAAAATCTATAAATTTTTTTTTGGGATAGCATAAAGATACTCTCGCTACCCCACAACAATTTCTGGGGAAGCAAAGATACATCTCGATACCCCTTAGTGACGCCTATGACTTGAAGCACATTGAAAATAAATTGATAATTGGTTATGCTTAACTTTATTTAATAAGTTAGTATGAAATTGAAATATTTTTATTCGTAGGTACTATTTTCTCAATAAAAACATTTTTAATAATGATGTAATCATCCATTAACTCATTGATTCAAATTCGTTCATCAATATTCAACTTTTTGTACGTTAATCAGCAATTGTCTACTTAGCTATAATATCTTATGGTTATTATACCTATAAGTTAATAAAATTTGAAAAAAATATCGGTTAGGTATATCATTAAATATATAATCAAAACTAAACCATTGAATAATTTGTTTAATAGTTATTATTATACGAATAGTGTTAGTTATTCGATAAAAATAAAAGTACTTAATTTGAATAACCCTTTAGTGACTTTTAAATTTAAATAAGATATTAGGTTGTGTAATACACTGTAAGACTGGTATTAGGTATATTTATTATATGTTTTATTTCATTTTATAACTATAACTTCGCGTTCACGCATAATACCAATACGAAATAGAATTTCGAAGAAAATATGTAAATATTAATACACGTATGCCTATATTGTTTAATCACAGCTGGCCAAGTTTCAAATATATAAGGATGTTTACTGTAATACGTGTTAATATCCTAATTTGTTTCTTTAGAATATAACTTAAATCGGTCACATATATTCAAATCACATTTTATAAATAAAATATTTGAACATTTGATAATTTATAAAAATATAAAAATTATCATTGTACGTATACCATATTATATATATATATATATATATATATATATATATATATATTCACTGTGCAACAGAAGTTCCCGTCTTATTTTGTATTCATATAGCAAAACGTTGCATTTTATGCGTTTGTATATTGGCATGTTTTTTTTTTCTAACATTTTGTTTCTGAAACCACATATTTATTATAGTTAAAATTAATTTTTATAAAATTAAGCAACAATAAAAAGAGAAATAAGTTGTAATATTCTGTTAATACTTTTTCAGATTATATTTGATACTTGGCAAAGGATATATTATATATTTAGTGTAGGCTTTATATTATATTTTAGTTAAAATTACATAAAGGTCATAAATATTTATCGATATATATTTTACCTAATACATTGCAGTTTTATATATACCTATTTTTATTTTGCATACTAATAATTTATTAATAACATGATGTTCTATAAAAATATTTATAAATGGATAACCAAATCTACTAAAAGTTAGAAATAAGAGTATGCATTTAAATTTAACGTTATGATCCTTAGTGTTTACGTTTAACAAAATACTTTTCATTGTTCATCAAGTGGTTACTTTATAAACTATGTTGTGAAAGAATGCAAAAAAACTAATTTGGAAATAATTTTAATGATTTTGAAGATTCTCCTTTATGTTTCATAGTTTTTATTGAGTTAACAGAAACGATTATATTAATAAATACATAATAGTTGATAATTTTATATTTACACATATCACATGTATTATTTTTTTAATTTTTAATTTTTAATTTTTTTTTTTATTTAGAAATCAAAAATAAATGGTTAAAAATTAACAAGTTTAATTAATTTGTACAGTTTTGATTATCTACCTTCTGTAAGCTAAAGCTTGTGTTGATGGTAGGGACTTACTACATTTACAGATAAAATAATACAATTAGGTAATTTCTTATAATATATTAGGTACCCACAATATTTTAACAATAAGATGACTTGAAAAATATAATAATAAAAAACTAATCGAAATAGACTGTTATACCTATATAATATATAATATATATATATCAGTTCAATAATTTATAATAATTTAATAATTATACAAAATAAAACTAGATTAAAAAATTAGATGAAACGATTTTATATAACTTATGAAAACAAGGTGCCGGTGAATTAGTTTCTTTGACTTTAATACGTAACCATTACTCCTATATAATCAATAATATTTAGTTAAATTAAAAATAATTTTTACAGTCTTAAAAGTGTAATGCACAAAGAACAAAGGTATATGGTTTATAAAAAAAACATTTGCATTTGCAAATCGGTGTTCGTGCACAACATTTGTTGGTTTCCAACCGAAGTGTAGACGAATTAAAAAAATAAAATTAAATGTGACAAAATATTATATATTCGTTGTCAGACCATAAAATTTGAAATGTATCTATTTGAGAAATCTTCTTGGGTTGTACCTATCTAATATAATAATATTATACGGGTTGTGAGTTGTACAAGCACAACCGGTGCATCACGATTGCGCAATTTTTCCTTTTTTTGACCCGACTAATTTCACCATGATTGCGCTCCGATCCCTTTTTACCTGATAAAAACATAACGCAATTTCGCACCAAAGTATGTGTATATACTATGTATAATAATTTATGTACAACGTAAAATAATGTATACAATACATACTTTCTACTATTTGCATAAATATGCACTAAAACTATTAATTCACAAAATGCACTTTTTCAAATCGAAATGAAAAGTTGATTGAGCTAATGATAGTTATAATAATAATATCGACTAATGAATATCAGTTAAGAAAAAAAAAACAATTTTTAATAAAAAATATTTCAATTATTGACCATGTCAGTATATACATTTAGTATACATGTAATTTAGAAAAAAAAACAATTTTTAACCAAGCCAAAGATGATAATTAGTTGATAGTCCTAAGCCTGTAATAATTGGGAAGAAAAATTGCGAATTAATAGGTAATAAGTTTGAGTTCATGTATATGAAAATTTTATGTAGAAAGATTGTATTGTATACATTATTTTATATTATACATAAAATATTATATATCGTATATACACATAAAATTATCTGGTGCACAATCGTGTTATGATTTTATCAGGTAAAAAGGGATCATGGCGCAATCGTGGTGTAATTAGTCTGGTCAAAAAAGGAAAAATTGTGCTATTATGATGCAGCCAAGCACAACACCTATGCCGATATATGTATATTATTTTTGAAAACACGCGTCGTTTAATTACGTGTACGGGTAAATACACGATGTTATAATTTAGTCACCACTGGCCGAGCAACAATAAAATAATAGTAATTAAAATATACAAAACGCGTAACAATGTATTCTATTATGGAACCACTAGGTATTAGAAGAGAAAATAAATGTGTTGGTATATTATCGGTGGTAATCGATCGGATCAGGTTTTTTCTTGTACACGTGGTGTCGGCGGCGACGACAGAGGGACCTGACTAAATGTATTATATATATATATATATATGAATGTATAGATATGTATATGTATGTTCATTGATATAGGTGTGTATTATATGACTTGAATACCGCACGTGTTGTACAGAACTCTGTATACACGACCACGGTCCTGGAGGCGTGAAAACGGGCTCGTGTTAGCGATGTGGTGTACCGTGTATGTTAATAGACCCAACGAGGAGAAAATCCATTCCGTATTTCCGTGAAAATTCCTTCATTGTTTTCTTCGAACAGAGAAATCATAGTAGTTATAACGAGATTATTACTTACGGGTTTCCGAGCGTTTCTGGGAGCCATACATCTGGAAGTCGCGTCTTAATATCATCTTTCAATAACGACGGAAGTACACACATCCTCGAAATGTCGAAGAACAATAATTTTCATTATCGGGGTGAAAATAAACCGCAAGACAACGCACGACGACGACGGAGAGCATCAATTTTTTTCAAATACATATATTATATTTGTAGACTTCAATGTTTTTATTAATCTATGCACGAACGACGAAAAATTTGCAATACCGAATACAAGACCTGTGAGGCCAGTAGGGTTGCTTTATTTAAAGCAGCTGCTTTATTAGTCGGAGACACATTCGAAAAAACAAAATGATTGTTTAATATATATATTTTATCTACTTTTTCGGTGCAATGAAATAATAATAGTAACGATTTTCACATAAATCATTGAACAATTTCACAATATTTTATTTAACTTTTATGTAATTTTGGTTGAATCACTATTCAATATTTGATAGTAAATATTTTTAATGTATATTATTTCATACCATTAAGAAAATCTAGGTTCTGCATTTGAGGGCTTTGTGAATTACACCCCTTGCACCATAGCTAAATCCGGGACATGAAATATGTAACGTTCTTAATCTTTTGTTTACGTGGTTTATGATTATAATATTATTCATAATTCATGCATTTAATATAATATTATCAATAGCAAACGTCATATCCATGTAAATATAATAAGTGTTATTGATTCTATTAATTTTTATTTTGCGATCGAACATCGCTTTAAACGAGTATTTTAGTTTAGTTATTTTTATTTTACAGACGTTTAAAAATGCCTAAATTACAAATTTTTTCTATCATAATTTTACGATGCATGGAAGATTTATGTTGAGTATATGTATCATAACTTATATTTATATTTTAACATATGTAATATTACAATTACGAATGCAATATAGTGTTTAGCACTATAGGGTTTAACAGCTTGCAGTTGTATGTATACATACAACTGCAAGCTGCTAAACCCATGAAAATGCAATTGAGCTATCATATTATATCTATCTGCTTGTACAAGTATAATATATTGTATTTAATGCGTGTTTCTAAATCCCATGATAAATATTTCACATCTCAGTCCTTGACCAGGTGATATGGGTATAAGTATCTCTTATCTAATTAAAAATACGATTTATACTGATATAAGATGTTGTTTATTAAAAAATTACTGCAATATCATATGCATATATATTTGTGTTATGGCCATGTACGTATAGTAGTGGACATTTGAATTTATAACCGGACCTACGCACTGAAATTCACCCACGCCGGTTTCTTTGGTGAAAATCTATCCAATAAAAAATAAAACATCTATTAACATCCGGATGTTTGAAATTGCTTAAATTTATTAACTATTGCTATTATATGTACCTACATTATTTAGATGTATTTAATCGTTATTGTTTGAGAAAAACATTCATAAAATTGAAAATTGTATTTTTCGAGTGATGTAGGATTAGTAAAGTCATTATGATGGGCAATGCGTATACATTGCAGACACAACACGTAGACCATGATCAAATGATAAATGGTATTTATAAACAATGTCAATAAACTCTTACGAATGTACATAATATTATGTACTTAAAGTCATTCAGGTCGTACAGTCAATTTTCTGTAGGTTTTTAAACAATCTAACGCATAATAAACGTGATTTGATATTATCCTTTGAATTATATATAGTATATTACGATAAACAACAGAAAAAAAAATTTTAAATCGGATCATGTGTAACGTCTGAAGTGCTTACATTTGAAAGTTTGATAATCCTTTCATTTGATGTCATGAATAGGGTAACAATACAAACCAAGTTAGAGAATATGAAATAATGACTTTGATGTCGAATGGAGATTAGAGTGAATAGACCATATTTCTAGTTATGGACATTTATACGCGATTTCATTTTCTACTATACACTTTATTAGGAAGTCGGTCATACATGAGGACACTACTTCCTTACATTCTTCTTTTCGAGGTATTTTTTTTTAACCGTAACAACTTCTAGATCATGTTATACATTTTGAACTCGAGAAATTATTATCTATACGCATGATTAATTTTTATTGCAATTTTTATGTTTGCAGTTTTTAAACACGTTACTCTATGGGTGTGACAAACTGGAAGCAAAGGCAGAAGAGAAGCGAGTAAGTGCTTTTATAATTTTCGTATATTATTGGTATATTTTAAAGTATTTTACACGAGTATAATTTTTTAAGTTTTTAAGAAGAATGCAATGTTGTTATGGTATTACACTAGATCATGATAGTATTATGTGTTTAATCAGCGTATGATTAATATTAGCATTGTTCGAAGTACACATTTAAACATTATTATTAAGAATCTTATACTATGCATATTACTGTGATAAAAAAAAAAATAGATTTTTCTTGAACGTTTGCGTTTTATGAATTGAATAATTTATCTTTGAAATATATTTCAATTGTTCCTCGATGTTTCAGATATATTATAACATGTCAATCAAATAAAGAATTAAATTAATTTTAAAATTTTCAGTGAAGTAAAATGTAATATCATATATTAGATTAAATCTAAATTTTTGAATTATCTACATTATAAATTAAAACAAACAAGTATTCGACCTTGTTCAAAACGGAAATGCACATATGATTTGACCGGAAACTATTTAAATAGCTAATTATATGCCGTGGTTCTCATATACCTTTTCAAAAAAAAACTGTAAAATGAAAATAAAAATTAAAAGCCAGGCATACCTAAACAGTATTACGAATAATTCCGTGTAGTCTGATTGCTTACTCAGTATTTATAACTGCATAATATATTCAATTTTCTTATTTTCATTGTAATATGGCCGATAAAGATTTTTTTCGTAGGACAATATATACAAATAAATATTTTTTCCGTCTCAGTATTAATATACTACTTATATATTATATCCATATATCATACCGCCAAAGTTCGTGGTGTAAGACGTAGGTAGTGTTTAGTGGCGCGTTTAGCTGATTAATAATATTTTCCATTATAACACGTACGTATTATACACTTACATTATAATATGTACGTAAGTACTTATGCGCGTATATACGAGTCGATGAATGTTTAAGTATGAAAGGTTTTATGTTTACTGACCGATTGGTTGTAACGATGAAATATGATAAAAGAAAGCGTGTTGTCTATTATTCTGTATTCATATAATATACAGTATGGGTATTAACCAATGTACTATTGACAAACGCAAAAAAAAAAAAAAAGCGAAATAATAATAATAGTACAATTTCGTTAAACACAATTCTAATCAATTGGTTATTTTTGTTCGTTGGTATATTATTATTGTTTTTGAAAGCGTTTAATTAGAAAATCGTAATATATTCATGCATACACTTGTATATTAAGAACTATACGATGTGCGCAATGGCATATAGGTTTATGTTTGTCGGTGTACACCGAAGGGCTATACAATACATTTAACAGCTTGCATAATAATAAATTACCGATGCCGCGCTAATTTCTCTAATACTTAACGTACAGACAATCGTGTTGATATATTACACGACTTCATAATTCTCATTTATCATTTTTCGAATTCTCGTTTCATCTGTAATCTCATACTGTTTAATTATATTTACTTATTAGAACTTCCTAAATTCTTACTATGTTTTTTTTTTTTGCTTTATGAGCCATTAAGACCTTTCGTAGTTTCTATTAACCCCTTTCACACGTAATAGCCAGTAGTGGTCTCGATGTTTGGTGTTTCGTCTATCATTTTTATATCTGTATTAACTCTTCTTACCATTATTGCCGAGGTCTTTCCCTGGGACGCGTACTAGTTGGTTTATTGATCAGTATCTTCCGAATTATGTTTTCTTCAGCACGCTACACATGACCCACCCATTTTAAGAAAATATTTAAGAATAATAATATTTGAATTTAAGAAAATATTTAATATTTTGTCTGTTGTATAGATATTCCTAATTGGTATTTTTCCTTCTTTCATAATCCCTCGTTGATTTGATTCTGACAGGCCTATTCATTTTCTTCAGTACTTTCCTCTCGGAGATATGAAGTTTCTTCTCATCAAATTCTTCGTATAATTCTGCATACTCATTATAAGTGTATATTTTCATCATGAAATATTTATCTTTTAGACGTTTTTAATTCATTTCTTTAGTTGTTTAAATGCAAAGTTTTTATATGTTTATATCAATTTGGAGATTATAGTTATTCTATAAAATGTATATTTGTATTACATAAAATATTTTATAACTAACATAGGAGAAATACGTTATTATCAATTTATTATATTAAATTGTATTTATTTGATATCGAAATTTGTTAAATTACATTTTGACGCTTCATTAATATTAATAGATTTTATTCCTCGTGTTGACAATATACATATTTTAAATTATATTTCAAGGACGTGGGTAGATATTATTTATGGTGAAGGGGTTGATAAATTTAGGTAATAATTATTTGATTTACCATCTGGGATTGGAAATAGAGGAAGGGTTGAATCCCAAAAACATCTCTTTACTTACGCTTTTGAGAAATTCAATGTATAATATAATATTTGTAATAGACAGGTGCGTAGCCAGGGGGGTGTTACAGGTGTAGTAACACCCCCCCCCCCTCAGCCGTGGTGTACATAATATATTTTATCAAGATACAGATGCATCATAAGCCGTGATTTACACTTATTTATCAAAATGAAATATATACTAAGATAACAATAATGTAAAACATTAAAGACGGGACCCGGCATTAATTAGTAATTACTAGGCTTAGAGACTTATAGCTCTAAAAATACACAAAAATGCTTCTAAAATCATTAAAATATGAATTATAATATGCATATATATGCATTAAAAAAAAATCACCACATAGTACACGAAATAAAACGTGTCCATCGGATGTAAATGTATCTTTAAACTCCGAAACATAACATTGTAGTTGGCTACTCGTAGACTGTTGTACTTTCGGCATTACACAATAATAAATGTTTCCTACTGTTCATCGACTTAAAAATATTGATTCTCCAGTAACCACTGCAAGTGCACTGCAGTGAAGTATCTTTTTTCTCTTTACGGCGCTTAAAAACATATTTGAAGAACACAACTGGTGAAAATTGGTTGAACGGCTTAGGAGTTATAAATATTCATCGGGTTTTAGTCGTAACTATCAACGAAATAATAGATACTCTATTATTATAAAAAGTAGACGCATTAAGTTAATTTAATTAAAAATATTTATTTTTTTTTTTGTATTAGTTATAATAATATATATATGTGAAAAAATTAAATAAACGTAAAGTAATCAATTTCATGTGTATAATGTTGTCAATTCATTTTGAATAACACCCCCCCCCCCTTAAAAATGTCTAGTTACGCGCCTGGTAATGGATATTTCAATGAATTGTTAAGTTTTTTCCAACAGTAATGATTAGGGTTGTAAATTTGAAATATTTTACATGAAATATTGAAAAATATTTTTTTTTACGTTTGAGATAGTGACCGTCAAATGTCATTTAAATTAGTGGATATTGTTTGATATCGTTTCTGTACAATCTTGTGTTTTCCCATTTAACGTGGTATAGTCTATCAGCTGCCTATAAATAGGTAACGACCACAGATATGTTTAATATTAATAAATATATGTAGTAACGACAAAACCGGCGTATTATTATTGATAGCAGCTATTTTTTATGATAATATTCGTCTAATAAGTAGTAGTTCTAATCACCTGTGACTTATTTACATGTTACTATTTAAATTTTCTGAAGTGTCTTCAGCCATCTAAATTTTAATTTCCATATTTTCTTGAGTATATTAATGAGAATATTATACTTCCCTAATTTATGATTTGTTTAACTACGCAAAGGAGCTAATTTTTATTTTTTATTAAATTAAATTTATTTAATTACATTATGTTTATTATCTTTTATACCTATATATATATTTATTTTATTTATTATTTGTATATAAATACAATTCAATATTGTACTCCAATATTGAATTGTAATTTTCATCTTTCTTTAAAAACATTTCCAGATGCTGGTATAATATTGTGTGTTTCACAATATTCATAATAAATTTTATAAATATGTGTTTAACTTTTAAACTCACTAGGTACTGATATATTTTTTTGATGAGAAACTTCTGAAATAATGTGATAGCTGATGAGTAATGGAACTACTGCCAACTTATTTATAAATTCATCTATATTTTGTAAAATTTCTTCAGGTGTTTCAATGACTATTGGTCTCATACCTTTTAAATCAATATTTTTAAATTATAATAACTGAATCACTAAATGCAAGAAGGGCACATGTCCATAATTTTCATAAAATTACATTTTTATAGATTTTTGTTTAGATTCAACAATCACACCGTTCTATGCAAATGGGACACATGTCCAGTTTAATGGTATATTATAAAATGATCATGATATTTTGTGTTAAATGCAAAAACGGCGTATTTCCTAGACATGTGACTTTTTTTTGTCTGTCCTGAAAAATTATAAAATGTGGACATGTGCCCTTCTTGCAATTAGTGATTCAACTATAAACTAATATGGTGTTAATTGTTAATTTATATAAATTAGTTTTTATTTCTATTTAGTACAATTAATAATACAAAAAGTATTCAATAAAAAATAAAACATAAAGCATTATATTTTTACTGAAATGAAACAAAATTTTTATTTTTTACTCAAATTATATATTTCATAAGATTTTCATGAAATTATACAACCCTAGTAATAATAGATGTATAATTGTCTTTCAACGTTCTTATAAAAAATATTGCAATTACAACTGGCTATACTGTACTGTTAACATTATTTATAAAATTATTATTTTGTTAATTAGTGTTGTACGAAATACAATTTTTTTTGTTAGTAAAGAAATGTAATTTTCAAATAATATATGCTTATACATACTCGTACATATTATATATATATACACATATTAATTGATTTTAATAAGTTTTTTTATACAAGATGCATAAAGATAAAAGGTCGAAACCTGTACAATAGATTAAAAACGACACCTATAATTAAGCAAATAGTCCACTTGAGATGTAGTATAAATACGATTGTAATAATAACTTCGTAATGTTCTGACTTGTCTTATAGTTAAAATTCCGTGTATAATTTATGATTCAGAGAG